AGTTCTTGTCTCAGCTCCACATATTTATAAGTGTTAGGCAAATTGTTGTCAAACGACGTCCCGGACAATGATATTAATAATTAATTATTCAGTCACTATTGACTAATGACTGAAGTGAAACATCGACACCACGATTGTACCAACGTAAACCTATAACATAATTGGGTCATTGGAAGCAATCTAATTTAAGGGAAAAATTCATAAATAAGGTGTATACTTTACACCAATTCAAAAATCAGGTTTATAGTTTGAAAATTCAAGAATCAGGTTTTTTAAATTTTTATTTATGAAATAATAAATTATTAAATCAATTTATTATTAAATATATAATATAATTAACCCATCCCACATGCACTCTTCCGAGAACTATTCCGGCGACCATTCCGACTACCACTCTTCTCCGACGACTATTCCGACGATCGTTTCGGCGACTGCTCTGATTCCTGCAATTATTCCGACGACTATTCCGGTGACCATTATGGTCACAGATTTACAATTTAAGGTCACAACTCAAAATTTTTGTAGGTCACAATTAATTCGTTGGTCACATATTTCAAAATTAGTTAGTCACAGATCAAAATTTATAGGTCACATAGTCACAGATTTTCAAATTAATTGGTCACAGATTTTTTTTACGGTCACAGATTATATAATTTTTAGGTCACAGATTAAAAAAAGTTGGTCACAGATTATATTTTAGTTACAGATTACCGAATTTTAAGGTCACGGATTATATTTTGTCACAAAACCAAAATGACTAGATCCTCCACCTGCACTACCGTCAACTGCCACCACCATTATCAACCCACCAAACAAAGCCGCCACCCAATACACTGCCAATAAAAATCATCACAACCACAAGTGCCATCGCCGCCACCCATACACAAAAACACTTTCAAAACCACCCACGGCCGAGGCACTGCACAACGATTATGTGACCATCCCGTGACCACCCTGTGACGTTCACCGCCGGCGACAGTCTCGGAACCAACACCACCACCACCTCATCGCGACAGCCAATATCACAAATGCCCACCAACAAAAAACCACCACCGAAGCCGTCGCCACCTCCACAGTCAAACCGCCACCTCACCTCCAACACCACAAAAACCATCACAACAACCACCACTTGCACCACCAACCACAACCACCTAAAAACAAATCTACACCTACACATAGCAACCACCATCGCCGTACAGAGCCACAAATCCGCCACAAATCTGTTGTTAGGTGTTCCGAAAAATAAATGGCTTGGCTGATGAGTGATGAGATTACATAGTGAATCATAATGGCCTCTGCATATTTGAGAGAGAAAAAGATGGAGGGGAGGAAAACTTATCAGATTTCTAATTACACAGCGGCGGCGATTAGCAGAAAAGATAGAGGGGAGGACAACGGTGGCGGCTTCACAGAGAAAGGGAAATGAGAGGAGGGAAGAGATGAGACGGCGCCTCTTCGTTGCTTCGAGGTTTGACATGGCGGTGGAGGTGGTGTTCGGTGGTTAGTGCTGTGTCACCGTATGTGAAGAGGTTTGACATAGCGAGAGAGTGGAGATATGGGTGAAGAACGGCAAGGGAGGAATGGGCGAGAGACTGTGGCAGCAACGTCTTGCGACGGTAGCTCTAATGGAGGGAGGCGACTTGGTGGGGAATATTGAGAGAGAGAGAGAGGGCGGCGAGAGAAATGTTGAGAGAGAGAGAGGGCGAGAGAGAAAATATGGATTGAAAATGAATTAGGGTTTGAAAAATTAGTATTATAATATTATTTAAATATTTAATGCAGACCTGATTTTTGATTAGATAAACATTGGACCTGAATTTTGAATTTGAAAGTTTAAACCACTGGTTTTTTGTAATTTTCTCCTAATTTAATTAGAGCTACTCATGACCCAACCATTATCCTTTGGACGGCTTTTGGTCGATAACACATTTATTACTAATTTTATTTGTTCTTTGGACCTAACTATCACTTAATCTAAAGGCCCACTATATTAGCATATATGTGACTCCTGTTTTGGGCTTGTGGCTGTGTGAAAGTGAATTATTTGCTGCCCCTTTGTTGAGTGAAAAATGTCTGCCTTCTACATTCTCTCTCGTTTTTCGTTCTCTTTAGCCTTTGTGGCTACTATTGTGACTGCAATATATCACTCCATACCTTGTCCTTTGTGGGCTTATACCATGCAACAGGGAACGTGGGATTGTAGGTTGGTTTTGGGTGTTGGAATTTTGTGGTGTCGATTCGGTATCCATATGAAATACTAAGCCCGAAAATCTTGGAGTCAATTTTCTCTCAACAAAAAGAATTGTCCACATGTTAGATCTTTAACAATAATCGAAATCGATGAGGAGGGACATGTTGAAAACATAGATCAAGTGTTTTCATTGTATTCTAGGAAGAATTTCTTAATTTCTCGTATAATCCCATATTCTACATGTCAACTAGATTTTGTATTATGTTTTTAGCGATGGGACCTTTACACAAAAATATTAAGAAGTCCATCCCATTGCAGTTCTTGTTTTTGATAAAACTAGGGGCAGTACGTGACTGATTTGAGGTAGCCTTGAAACAGCATGGGGGGAAGTGGGGGGTGGGGTAGAGGGTGGGGTCAATGAACCTAATTGCTCTTCCAATGGGCGGTTTCGTTGATCAATAAAAGGTTGAAGATAATAACATCATAAAAAGAAAAAGAAAGTCTGAAAACAATGAAGCAACTGGGGACAATGGTCGAAGACGAAACATATAATTTAACGTTTTGTAAAACTAGGGGCAGTACGTGACTGATTCACTGAATGAGGTAGCCTTGAAACAGCATGGGTGGAAGTGGGGGGGTGGGGTAGAGGGTGGGGTCAATGAACCTAATTGCTCTTCCAATGGGCGGTTTAGGGTTTGGAAAGCATATTCTATTTGATTTGATTATGATTTTCGAACTAGGAGTCATTGTTACTGTTGTTGATCATCCGATAAAATGTATCTTTGCTTTCAAAAATTTTCAATGCCTAGAAAAAAGAATTTTTTATCAAATAGGGTTTTGACATGTATTACTCCCCGTCTATCATTGTTGGCTGAAGTCTAACTTGCCCGCTACTGACATAGGAAGTTCGACTAGAAAAATTAAGATCTAGAACTAGTGATGGGATGAGATGGGATGGGATGGCTAGTCTTTTAGTTCGATGAAACATATAATTTAACATTTTTTAAAAGTAGGGGCAACATGTCAATGATTCACTGAATGAGGTAGCCTTGAAACAGCATGGGTGGGGTGGGGTGGGGTAGTTGCCAATGAACCCAATTGCTCTTCCAATGGGCGGTTTAGGGTTTGGATAGCATATTTTATTTGATTTGGTTATGATTTTCAAACTAGGAGTCATTGTTACTGTTATTGATCATCTTGTATCTTTGCTTTCAAAAAATTTCAATGCCTAGAAAAAAGAATTTTTCATCAAATAGGGTTTTGACATGTATCACTTCTCAATTATCATTGTTGGCTGAAGTATGACTTCCGCGTTAATGACATAGGAAGTTCGACATCATGAACTTGTTGAGTATCATTGAAATTATAAGATCTTATTTTTTGTTTTTGATTTCTATATTGGATCGTTACTAAGGGAACTTAAGCGTTGCTCTTTCTAGTTTATTCCACGTGAAGAAAATAAAGTGGTCCATGAATTAACATTTTCTTTCTCATTCGATTTAGGCATTCTTTGTTAATAAAGTAAAATACATTATAGGATGTGTTTGAACCACATTATTTTGAAAAAATGTATTTTGAAATAATAGATTGATGGAGAATGTGTGGTTGAAAAAGAATGAAAAGTTATTGATATGATGAAAAATATTATTTTATTGAACAATGTGTGGTTGAAAATGAGTAGCAAAATGAGAATGAAAATGAGAATTTTAATGTGACTCAAACGGAGGCTATGTCATGGAACCCCAAGATAAGCGTTTGATTTCAAAAAGGGAAGAAGAAAACCTACTTTTACCAAAATCCCTTCGAGGATACAAAATTGCAAGAAAGGGCAATTTTTGGAAAATGTGTCGATGCCTTAACATGGAATGGTGGAACTAGAGCATCTTCCGTGCATACAAAGATTGATATTAGGTTGCGTGGAAGTTAGAGGAGTTTCAATTTATATGATATTGATATTTAACAAGTAGATATTCAAATGCAAAATTAATTCTCAATGCATACAGTATATTGTTATTTAAAAGTTTTCTAATTTATAAATAAAAACAAAATCACGTGTAAATTTGGAAAAGATGTTCTCGAGCTTCTGAGTCTAGATGGAGTGACAAAAATTGTCAATTTTTTTTTTTTCTTCATGTGAGTTTGATGAAATCCTTGGCACCTTGCATTGTGTGTTTGAGCCACATTATTTTGGAAGAATATATTTTAGAATAGTAGATTGATGAAGACTGTGTGGTTGAAAATAAGTAGTAGAATGAGAATGCAAATTTTAATGTGGCTCAAACAACAACATCTATTTTTACTCATGCGATTTAATTTTTAGAGCAATCAACAATCACATTGGTGCTTTTAGTTTTAACTTTGACTTCAAAATTATTCTCCCAAACCAACTGCCGACTTTGAATGGCAAAATTTGAGTTCAAAATTCGTCCATGGATCATTCGTATGGAAATCTTGTGAGTTGAATAGGCTATTTTCCTCGAGCAAAACGAACAAAGATCGAATTTCTTCCTCACACTCTCGCGTTAACAACTCAATTGATCCACTACTATAGAGATGAACACTACATAGAGAAAATAAAAACCATCGCTGTAAGTGTTAAGCATCACTAGTATTACGTATTATTACTCAAATAAACCCTGAATTTAGTCACCACTGTATTCAAGATACACAGGATACGTAAAATTTAGCAATCAAACCACAAAATGCTTACAAATTCTGAATACGACTATAGCCTCATAACTGGTCATAATGCAGAAAATACTAAATAGAAAATGATATTGTGCTAATATACTAATAAAGTAGGATATACTCATATGATATAATCCGACCATTCAGAAATAAACGAAGTATGATCCATCGATTCTCCTGGAATTTCCTCATGCTTTGTTGGCTGCTCTTTTCCTCCGACCAACCTAGCCGGATTCCCCACTGCCGTCGTCCTTGGGGGCACATCTATCAAAACCACTGACCCCGCACCAATCTTTGCTCCTTCGCCAATCTTAATATTGCCTAGTATTGTTGCTCCTGCACCAATCAACACTCCATCGCCGATTTTGGGGTGCCGATCATCGCTAACTTTGCCAGTTCCACCTAAAGTTACATGGTGGAGAATTGAAACATTGTTTCCAATTACAGCTGTCTCGCCTACCACCACTCCAGTTGCATGATCAAAAAGGATGCCTTTGCCAATTTTTGCGGCTGGGTGGATATCGACAGCGAAGACATCGGAGATGCGAGATTGTAATGCAAGTGCGAGAGGCTTCCGAGTTTGAGTCCAGAGTTTGTGAGCCACTCGATGGGCCTGAAAAATACAATAAAATGTGCACAACAACATCATGACTATAAATCAGGGAAAAAAATCGGGATAGCAACCAAACTGAAAGAGCAAATAATTAGAAAACCATGCAGCAAAACAACACTCATGGTCATATTCTTGAAGAAAACCATATGTGCATGTTTGGTACGCAGTATTACTTAGAAGTAGATAGTTGAGTGTTTTGTGAGCCTTTGAGCGTGTTGGCATGCCATTGCTTGCATATCTATGCCAATGCACTTGCATATTGGCTTCGATGTACTTAAAATGAGATATCTACAATTCTCTTTGGGCTGCTAATTTTCTGGGTAGGTTTGGTAGACTCATGGCTCAACGGTGGAATTGGAGCTCAATCAAGAGAAGAAGTTTCTTATTTTGTCAATTATTTAGTTGTGTTCTCCACTATTTAGGATTTATGACCAACCAATTTGAACTTCTAAAACTTTTGACATCCGGACTCGTGGATTAAATCCAATTATTAAGTTGACATCTTTCTCTTTGCCCATATAGCATCATCAAATTCAACAAACAAGTCAAAATGTTCCTAATTTGCACCGAAAAACACACTCTTAGCTGCAGACTATGCCAACAGAGTTGCAAAACCATACAAACCAATATCCTAAGAATCAAATTGTCAACTTTGAATTTCAATCCACTGTGGTTTGAGAAAGTTCACCTAATTGTTGATAAAGGACTGCATAAGGCCAAAGACAGTTACTTGTTAGAAGTAAAACTAAGAAAATCCGATGATTACTACCCAAACAATCAAAATGTGTCAATATGCAACAATGAGGCCAGGCTAGATACAGAGTTCCAGTTATATTCTAACCTAAGTTCATTCCAAGTGCCCGACTAAGACTGAAAGTAAACAAAAATACGTCAAGTTCTTAGCTCTAACTTTGATCATCGACACATTAATTGTCAGATGAACAACTCAAAAATATAAATAAAGAATTATATAGAGAAATGCCAAAGGATTTAACCTTGACTATCATGTTAGAGATTAGGCTTTTGTTTTTTGCTTTCTGCAGAAAAAATTCCTCAAAAAGCTATCTTCATTAGTGTTTGAAAACTAACATGTTTTAATAGCAAGAAAATACGGAGAGCAATCAAAATCTTACATAAAAATATCAAACCAATCTACCAATTCCTTCCTCGCTTGTTCGGAACATAATTCCAATCCGACTATGTCCCCTGTTTTAGTGGACTTTGTCCGGTTGGACCATTACGTTCTCTTGTAGAAATTTCAATTTGTTTTCTTGATGATATGATGTGAAACGCGTTTAAATCACCCATAGCCCTCGTTTTCTTTGCTAAAATCATTGGGAATTTACATTTGGTGTGATGATTGGTTCTCTTTTGCACCGCCTTGCTCTTTTTAGGTTAATATTTTGTTAATGGAATTTGTCAGTTTTGTCAAATTTCTTGCCACCTTCTTTTGTCAAATTTAGCCACCCTTTACAAAGTTCAGATATAAATTACCTGGCAAGCGAGGAAACCCTTGTAATTAAGAAGGCAGTGAGAAAAAGAAATGCAGGCAGGGTCACGATAGCGGGCGGCGCGCAAGTCGGCGACGGTGGCGGAACGGAGGTTTACATCGGTGGAGAAGGAATTGAGGAAGAGGTCGTAAAGCAGCGTCGATAAAAGCGTGGAGGAGCACAACTTGTTGCCCAGGTGGAAAGACAGAGAACGCTCCAGCGAAGAGTGAGAGAGGATAGTGGAGTACAAGTAGCTGGCTAAAGCCGGCTCAGCCTCAGCGTCGCGCCGAGCCTCGGCCTTAATCTGACCCCACAACCAAGCCTCCTCTTCGCCAGATCCGGACTCTCGTGATGACTGACGGTATTCTCCGGCCGGCATTGTATAACTGTGCCTTTTCCGTTTCCCGGCGTGATTTCTGTTTGATGTTTGTTGAGAGAATAATTGAGAGGGTGAAGTTCGTTTTATTTTTTCAGCCGGGCCACAGGAACCGCATGGATGCCCACATGGGTGACCGCGCACACACGGGGAGGTAGGACCCCTGCCTCGGCTGTGAGGGCGTGATCATCCTTTCTATCACAGGCGCGGGTCATCTAACTTAATTCTTATTTTTTAGTTTTTATAATGAGTTGTGAGGTGTATGTTTACGCCACGTGGATTGATGCTGACCGCTATTTTATGGGAAATCACTATAGAAGCCCAGCCCAATTTATGAACCTACTAGTAAGAAGCTTGTTCCAAAGGTGACCCAATTTCATTGTTGGGCCTCAATGTCTACTAAGCCCAGATTTTGTGATAAGTTATGAGTACGCGTTACTTCTCAACCCCAAATAAATAGTTATTCCGTTTCTGGCAATTACACTTCGTATCAATTGAGTAATTGAACTTTGATATTATTTAATTGAATAACAATATGTTAATTTAATTTCAATCAAGTAACTATATGTTAATTTCATTACGATCAAGTAGCAGCACTTTGATTTCATTTCATATAGTGTAACTTCATCCAATTTCACCAATAGAAATTGTGAAATCGAAAAAAGATGGTTTTATTACCAGAAATTTCTAATTTACCCTTGTGTGATTCTTGTTGAAGTAGGTTCCTAAATGACGATCATTTTGACCTTCGGTCATCGATTCTTATCGGTCGAATAACATGATTGGTCGAAATTATCAAATTGAAATAAAATTATAGTATAATTATTAAATTGAACAAAATTGAAGTATAATTACCTAATTAACATTGGTCGAAAGTATAGTCTGTGGTGGCGATACCTAGTAGGTCAAATTAAATGAGTCTCGTATGCATATATTTAATTGAACAAATAGTGTTGTTTGTGTAGAATGCTAATGATCACTATCTATGTGACACTGAAACTACCATCACATAAATTGATCGCAAGGCTTATCCTAGTGGTGCACTACTGAGAGCCAGAAAACCTAGGCAAATCTAGTGTTTAGGGATTATTAGGTTGCTTCTGGGATTTTCGACGTCTTCAAGGACTTACCAAAATGCTACAAAACTGACAAAATTAGAGGTTGTGAACCTTTTATCTCTTTTCTTGTAGAATAATTCTGCACTACTAGGAAAATGGTTCATAGGGGCTCACAAGGGGGCGGGCCCCAATTGTATTTAAAAATAAATAAATAAATAGCGCGGACCCCACCTGTGTCTTGCCTGGCAAACCCCTGTGAACCATTTCTCTGTACTTCAAGCTCCTCTTTCTTGTAAGCGAATGTCGGGAATTTAGATGACCAAGAGATACAAAAACTCAACAATGTTGTTAATAGTTTGGCTTTGGTTACATATACATCTTGTCTTACATTAACTTTTACATTCTTCCACATGTCACTATCATAGCTTTCAATTTCTTCAACACATTTTCGCATTACTGTTCAGATTGTGCCACATAGTGGACAATGTTATGAAAAATGTATAAAAGAATATACGTCTAGCAAAATTCTAATAGTTTCCTTTGAATTATAAATCAATTCACAAGTTTACGACTGAGTACAAACGAATCAATTAAGAATGCAGCTTCTCTATCTATGAGCATGTTTTGCTAACCTTCTCAGCCCACCAATTAAAAAATAACAAAAACTATGGTGAGGGGTGGGGGGGGAAGCCGACTACAAGGACTTTTGCTTTACATAGTAATATTGACCCTATATTGTCATCTTTGTGTAGAGACACGAGTCTTGATTGGTTTGAGCTTGAGTCCCATGCTTTCTGGATAGAGAAGCTCAGGCGCAGTGCGAGAAAGAGGACTACTAACCTTATTTGCTCGATACAGTCCGTACCGCATGAGAAAATACTCCATCGGTATTAATATTGCATGCGGCTGCTCCTCCGTCACCATTGATCCACAAGCCCCTGTGCACAATAATTATATCATCAACATTGATTTGGCATGCGGTGAGCAGCCTCTATTGGCTCATGTTAATAAACACTTCATAAACACTCAAGCTACTTTTTATCTAAAAATTCCGAAGAACACACAAGTACTATCCACTTATCTACCATTCATTTCCATCTATTTATAATTTAAACTGTTTATAAATAACTTTATGTAAGTTTTATGCCCTAAGTTTAATCGATTTTGGACATAAGGATTTTGGATATATAATTAATGCATTTTATTTGTGGCAAAATATATTATTTAATTGAATTAATATTCTAAAAAATTAAATAATAGAGTTCGTGTATTCAAGTTTCGATAACTTGTTAATTACAATGAGTTGTGATTATGAGATACAAATTATATATGACTGAATTTTAAATCATCAGTGGTCATAAGTAATAATGAAATATGGATATCGTTATTAAGGATAGACCATTACGTGTGGCATTTCTTACTTGTAAAATAAGTAAATGATATCACAAGTTCAAGTGCGGTGACATTTAAATGAATACGTTGATATTTTGTTATAGAACGAAACATTAGAAACATGTCGAGGAGCTTTCACATGAATAACTATTTGAGTGTCAGCGGTTAATCTCTAACGCCTGATAGTGGAATTAGTCATTCGACTCGAGGTCATCGTATTGCCTTATACTAGGGCAATCATACTTTGGTGATATTAGTTGTTGCTCTGCCAAGAGTTGCTAATATACCATCATTCGAATATGTTAAGAATCATATGAAAGTTGCGAATGATCAATAAATAATTTGTCACTCATATATAGTAAATTATTATTTACATTTCATTCAATTAAGTTGATAATAAAATCTTGGCCAAGATGTACTCATAAGTCGAAAAAGAATTTTCGACTTACACTGACTTAATAATGGAATGAAAGATATGATCAATAATTGATATTGACATGTATCCCTATCTCATAATTGACCGGATCATATGGACAAAAGAATTATAATTTCACGGTAAACGAATAAGTTTGATTTTATCATACCATGTGACTTTTTCCGTCACATGTATTGCCCTTGACCATTGTTAGATGTCAATTTGAAATGACGGATGTGAGTTGATGATAAATTAAAAAAATGTATTTTAATTTATCGATTTTGATTAGATCAAAATAATAATTCACGTCGTTAGACATTGTTCGTGATATTCCGCAAATGTACTGATCATAATAAATAATAAAGTGAATTTATGAAGTCCGAATATTATCTCACGGAAACTATTATCTACTATAAATTTTTAATTAACATAACTTCAATTTAAATTAAAATGGTAATTAATGATCAAATCAAATTTTGTTTTCTAAACCAAAAGATTTAATAAATTAAATAACAAACTCAAGCTAAAACTATAGATAAAATTATGTGATGAGGTAGTTATAGAAATGACAAAAAAACTAGTCAACTTGGGTGGCTCGGGCTCGGCCCAAAAAAAGCATGAGTCGGGCCGGCTCATGGCTAGGTTCATCGAGCTGAGGCTTGGCCTCGAGCCCGAGCCAAACCCTTTAATAATAATAAAAAAATCGAAATAATAGGAAAATAATAATAAAATGTTGTAGTTGCCCGTATAGGCAGCTATTTTAGCAAAAAGAAAAAAAAAATCGAGCCAACTCAGCCCGATAAGGCTCGAGCCGAAATTTTTTGGCTGAGCTTTTGCTCGACTCGACTCGAGCCAAAAAAAGCATGAACCTTTTTGGCTCGAGCTGAGCCCGAGCTTCAAGTTTCTACTCGGCTCGTTGACATGGCTAGGTAGTTAGGATTTTCGATTTAACTTAAATTAGTTATCATACATTTAATTCTAATTTATTCACTCATTTTTCATACGCGTCGACAATCGAATTAACCTGATGTAATTAGTGATCTCTCTCGATCAACACTAATCATATTCGTATGTCTGAACTTATTATATCTCTATATAAATTTCCACACATATGAACGCATTTATTTATAGGAATTCAATTTGGATCGCATAGTCTATAATTATCTTTCGATATCTTATAATGTCTATGTCAATTATTGCACGAGCTAGAATTATACATCACCTCTCGATCTCAATATTATCCCAAATCAATTAATTGTTGCGCCAATAATTAAAGCATTAAATACACAATAATTAATTAACGAGCATTAAAATGGCATGAAAATATTGAAATTAAATATATAATAAAAACCTTAAGTTGCATCATCAATCCTAACATAAAAGTATTTAGCCACTCATAACGTTGAAATTAAATACGCAAAAGTGGAAAAACATCACCAAAAATTGACGAAACATTTCGCTGCCCCCGTCTTTCTTCTTTGCGTTCAATTGCCGCGTGTGTATCTTTTCTACCAACTTCGACTGTTTCTGTATATATAGTCTCTCTGTATTTTTAATTCCAATAAACCGCCAAAAAGAAAATCAATTACTCCTCAATTCAGCTGCCCAATTTCCTGTGTGTATAATATATTATTTGTTGCCCAGTTTATTCTCCAAAACTCCCCTTGTATATGTTTAATTCCAGCTGCGTGTAGATTATATAATTCAGCGGCCGCAATTGGTTTCTCCTTTCCTTGCTGCCTTGTTGTAAATATATATAATATAAATTCAGCACTTTGTTTTCTCTCCTTTCAGCTCTCCGTGCGTTTCCTTTTCTTCCAGCAGCCGGCAATTGTCAGTATAAAACCCCCCTAATGCAGCCGCCCAAGTGTGTATGAATAATGCAATTCACCGCCGCAATCCCCTCTTATCTTCTGCTCTCAATTTTTAGAAGCCCAATTAATTTTGCAGCCAATGGGAATTTAGTCCTCATACTTTGAATTTTTATCATTTTTCGCTTATTTTATATTATTTTCTTCAATTCTTCATTAAACATAAAATTTTACTTACAAAATACAATTTAACATAAATTAGGTAGAAATTAAATCGGGATCAAACCAATAATCTGTCCTTATATTTTATCTGTGACATACACCTCAATTAGTAACATACAAGTTTAAAAGATCGGAATTACATTGTTGAAACTGATATGAAAACTGTACAGCAAACAAGGTGAGGATGTAAGCACCAGCTCTCCCGCCAATTTCCATCACTGCACCAAGCCTGAACAAAGTTAAACTCGTCTTATTGGAAACAATTTACAATAATGATAATATCAAGTATCAAGAAATGCAAGTAACAAGCAAAAAAAAAAAAAAAGGTTCATCAATAAAGGGAACACAGCCATATTTTGATAAATTTGAAGTCGGTCTGTTCGATCCATTGCTAAGTCTACCAAGAGATCTCTTACAACGTATTATTTAGCCCTGTAATTGTAATTGTTTTATGTATAAGGAAAGGAAAATCTTACACAATTTCGTAGTATTATTCATGAACATCAGTAATTTGAACAATCTTGAAATTATTTTATTCTTATAAGTAGGCATGATAACACTATGCAATTTTGCTGTTCTTAGCTTCCCTTTAGCAATTGTCACATTCTGACATGAAATCTAACAAAACGGAACACGAGCAATAAAAATATCACATCAAAAATTACCCAAAATAGTTTAGAACTTCAAGAATCTGATCCGCTAAATCATCAACACAAGGAATCGGATCTTCAGGACAAAGTGCTGCAGCTCCCAACTGCAGGAGCTCTTATTGAAACGTGTGTAATTTAGTTAGTAGACAACTGGTTCAAGAAAGATGCCAAAGTACACAATCAGAGATGGGTTGGCCTACTAGCAGACAGACCTCATGCCCAGGAGGTCTAATGTGTAACTTGCCAGGGATACATCACTCCTTACACAAGGGATGACGCGCCACTTGACCATTATGTCACCCCTTGTGTAAGGGGTACATCTCCAATGAGGAGGCGCCACTTGGTCATTATGTCTCTCCTTGTGTAAGGGGTGATGTAATAAGCATTAATCAATGTGGTAAACACAGAAATTGTTTAGCAGCAAAGAAGCAGCTTCAGGACAGAAACAATCCTTGGAAACAAGACGTATGCATGAAATATAAAGTCCCAACAAATCTTATCAAACTGCAGCTAATGGAAAACTTATAGTCAAAATGTGACTAAAGCTAATATCAAAATGGACCATAATTACTAGCAAAGCAAACTTGTCACTCACGATTTAAAGCTAAATCTGGATAAAATATCAGAGCTGGCTTATCTTGGTCTCCGTAAACTATAACAGACACAGAACCGAGGCCAGTCCATAAAATATGCTCCTGAGCGAAGAATAATATAAGCACAATTATACCAAAGATTATACTGAAAATTAGAAAATAATAATGCTCAAATTCCAGTATATTCACAGTAAGACTGCAATTGCTGCTTTACCAACAAGAGAAAGACCAATTGAAGTAGAGGATGTGAAAAATGGATCATTGACAAGTTTTAACTAATAACATTGCATAATCAGAAGGAAAAAAAAACATTCAAGCAATGAAAAGTTGAACTAATGTTCATTTTTCAGCCAATTATATCCAAGATTTCTATTCAACCTGATGAACAGGCAGCCAAGATCCTATTCATCTCTTTAATTTTCCTCCCCAACAATTGAAACATCTGTAGAACGGACACTTCAATTAGGGTAGCGTGTCCGTGTCGGACACGTGTTGATACCAACACTTCTCAAACACTCTAACGTAATCATTTTTCTTTTTTATATTAGAAATATTATATATTGTTAATTCAAAGTTATTAGCAAGTAACAAATAGGTATTCATGTTTAAAAGATTTAAACAAGAAAAATTAATAACAAATATAAAACTAAATTTATACTATATAAATGAGGAATTTTTAAAAATTTAATCAACGTGACGTGTCTGTACTTATTTTGAAAATCGCGTGTCGACGTATTTGACACGTATCATGACGGACACACATGTCCTTGTCCATGCATCATAGATAGAAACAAAAATAAATAGAACCTTGAACCTATTGAATTCCACTTAAAGAAACCCAAAAAAAATTCATAATAAGAAGCAAATCTAGTATTACTTGCCATTAATTTTCTCAACAAGAGACTTTGAATTGCAAAACTTAAATATGAAAATTTATGTACTAAACAAAATGTGAACAAGAAAACCAGCCCAATGGACAGATATTTGTAGATAGAAATGGAACCTTTCCGCCAAGGTAGATTGTTTCCACATTGACAGAAACGGAAATGCTCGACTCTGCCATGGCCGTCGGCTCTTCCTCTCCTCTCTACAGCTCAAAACACCCTTTTTTCTTCTCTCTCTTTATCTATATGTTTCTCTCTCTATATATATTACCGTATACATATAATGTGGTTGATGATTTACCAAGCGATTCTTTCTCCCTCCCCCATTTTTATTCTCTCTCTCTCTGTGTGTATCCAGCTGGAAATCTCTCTCGCCCACACATTCAAAAACGAGGCCTAAAAATTGAGACAGGATCGACAGCCTTGCAGACAATTTTAGGCCGAAAATTATACTTTGTACATCGTAATCTGTACTCAAAATCACCACACCATTTCCGTCGTATCTGAGCTCCTTTTCTATAACCATTATTCTCGTTTTAGGAATATATAAATGAACCATATTTTTATGAACAATGCTAACTGCAGCAAAAATTATACGCAGTCGATAAATTTTACAATTAATAAAGTCTCTTTTCCTGTGATTGAGGATAATGCAAACATTTATATTGAATGATTTTTTCTTTGATTAATAGTCACTTATTTCGAGATTGTCCACAATTTGTAGAATTACATTTGATTATTATTTTTCTTTTTGGCTATCTTCTGTTCTCGCCTCCCTGTGTTCGATAGAATAATTTTTCTCAACACTTTTGCTATGATTGAGGAGGTGGTTAAGAGAATATTTACTTAAAAGTAGTTTGAAACCATAAGAGATGTCAATCGAGTCGAGCGGTCGGTTCATACTGTTCATGCCCACGAGCCGCGAGCTGAGCGGACCAGTTCGTAGACTAGCCGAGCTCGAGCTCGGGCTCGGGCTCGGGCTCGGCTCGGCTCATTAAGAGGCGAGCGCTCGTGGGCTCGTGAAAAAACATTTAAAAAATATAAAAAAAACTAAGAAATTTTTTTTTTTTTTTTGACGAGCCGAGCCGGCTCGTGAGCTCGCGAGCTCGTGGACCGAGCCGAGCTCGCCCACGAGCAAATTAGCCACGAGCGGCTTGGCTCGTGAGCTCGTGGCTCGTTTCTCCACGAGCCCGAGCCGAGCTCGTAGCTTAAAGGGCCGAGTCGGCTCGGCTCGGCCCATTGACAACACTAGAAACCATACTACGGATGGACAACAATGCACTAAGTTCGCTAAAGTTTGTTGTCGATGTTGACTTTTAAGTGAATGGTCGCAATTATGAGCATGGTTAGCGATTCCAGGTCGAATAAAAGATCAAGTACTGATAACCAATTAAATCTCAAACTAATAGTTGAGCATAATCCTTCAAACTTCTAAGGTACTCACATGTTCTATTGCTTGTAGGACTATACGATTTCACAATTCGAATTGCCATTTTAACAACCATGATGTATATTACTTGGTTAATATGCCATTCTTAGTCTTCTCAACACCCTGTTTGAGCCACATTATTCTTTCAAGAATGTATTTTAAATAGTGTTTTGATGGAAAATATGTAGTCAAAAAATAAGAAAAAGTTTTGAATTCACGTGTAATATTATTTTATTGAAAAATGTGTGGTTAAAAATTAGAGTAGGTAAATGATACAAAATGTCATCTTCCCAATTTCAGAAACAATTAGGCCTTGTTTGATAGACATGATATTCCATGGAAAATGGAATTTTTTTTTCATGTTCCAACTTTTGCACCTATCTGATAGCAAAATTTTCCCCGGAAATTTTTTTCCACATTTCCTTATTTTCCAGCTTTTTGAGGAAAATGTATTCTTTTTGTTTTGGTTGGTTTTGATTTTCCAAGTTTTTTTTTTTCAATTGGAAAAAATTCTAAACACAATAGTAAAAAAATTTATCACTTTTATTGACAATTTTCATGCAAAACAAAGTCAAACGAATGGTAGTCTGTATGGTAATTTTTTTTTCCAATTTTTTTTTATTTGCAATTGGAACAAATTCTAAACTCAATGGTAGAAAAAATATCACTTTAATGAACAATTTCCATGAAAAACGAAGTCAAACGGAACCAAACTTTCAACATTTTTCAGGTGAAAAATTATACCAATCAAACATATTTAATTACAATTCTCAATAAAACAAATTTCTAGATAATTCAATTCCCTATAAAACATTTTCTTTCCACCTATTTTT